GAGAGAGAGAATGAAAGACAGAGAGCATGAGAGGGAGGAGGGTCAGAGGGAGAAGCAGACTCCCCGCCGAGCAGGGAGCCTGATGCGGGACTCGATCCCAGGACTCCAGGATCATGACCTGAGCCGAAGGCAGTCGCTTAACCAACTGAGCCACCCAGGCGCCCTATCTGAAGTCTTTTGAAGTGATAAATTGAATAGAATCAAACATTAAATTTCTTTAGTAGATTTTAATAATTTCGCATAGTGGTTAAGAGCATGGACTTTGGCATACCATCCTGGCTCAAATCCTGCTTCTGATTTCCAAGACCTCTGTAAAGAGGCAGAAGCAAGATACAGCATGGTCTCTATAACATGGTTTGATTGATTGATTGATTGACTGATAGGGAAGAAGGAAGGAAGGAAGATGCACCAGAGTGTGACATGTACACGCTAGAATACGAGAGAGAGATTCAGGAGAAACTGCTTGTCCGTGGTGGCCTCTGGGGAGTTGTATATGGTTGAGAGAGGGTGGGGAAACTTCACTGTATACCCTCTCTACACTTTTTTTTATTTGTTTAGTATTGTGAGTATATATTTTTTGTAAAAATTTTCAGTCCTGGTTCTGTCATTAACTGCCAAGAACGCGGACCACTTGAGGTTTTTGAGCCTCGGTTTTTCCCACTTTTCAGAATGATAACCATGTCTCTCTCTCTGTCTGGATGGTAGGAATTGTGTGTATGAAGTGCTTGGCACAGTGCTTGGAACATTTTGAACTCACAAGAGATTGTGATAGCTATTGGTTTTTCCTGTTTCCCCTGGTTCGTTTACTCTTCTGTGTCTAGGGCAAAAAACAATGCCGAGAGAATCTTCGCTCTAATGCCAGAGAAAAACTCACACTCCTACTGCACAATGATCCGAGGAATGGTGAAGGTAACATTTATTTTTCTATTTTTATCTTTAATTTCCACTAAGTCAGGATTTTTCACCCTCAGAATTATTGACAGTTGGGCCAGATAATTTGTCGTGGGGGCTCTCCAGTGCAACGTAGAGTTTAAAAGCTCCCTGTTCTCTCGGGGTTTCGTACGTAGCAGAGCAGCTCCCTCGCTGCGATCTATTGAAGTCAGCCCTCGACACAAGGGTTTAAATAAAAAAAAAAAAGAAAAAAGCTCCCTGTTTTCTACCCACTGCATATCGGTACTACATCCTCCCCAGCCCTCAGTTGTGACAACTAGAAATATCGCCAGGAATTACACATGTCACCTGGGAGGCAAAGTATCCACAGCAGTGGATTATAAACTTCATGAGAACCAGGACCTTGTCTGTTTTGTTTACTACTGTATTCTCAAACCCTAAAACAGTCGATGTGCAAGTATTTCTTAAGTCAACATGTTAGAGGTTGCTTAATGTTTATGCTTTCTCTGTTCTAGCACCGAGCTCCTGTGCAGGCTTTAAACTTGTACACTGAATTATTAAACAACAGACTCCGTGGTAAGTGTGTTTGTGGAGAATTCTTTTTCTTTCCTTAAGAATCTGTAATATCTGGGACGCCTGGGTGGCTCAGTTGGTTGAGCATCTGCCTTCAGCTGAGGTCATGACGATCCCAGAGTTCTGGGATCAAGTCCCACATGAGCAGGGAGCCCGCTTCTCCCTCTGCCTGCCGCTCCCCCTGCTTGTGGTATCTCTGTCTCTCTCTGACAAATAAATAAATCTTAAGAAAAAAAAAAAACAACTAACATTTTTGAATCCGCAGAATATTTGGATCTTGCCTCATTTATGAGCTCAGTTTTTATCTTTTCATGTAGCATTGGTATTCATTGGCATATATAGAAGCAGGAGGAGAGATCCAGAGCAGGGGGTGATTGTCTAGTGTTGTGGGCACATGGTAAGTGAGCTAGGAGCCACATGTGTATTACTTCTTTGCCTTAAACTGAGGCATTTAGGGGTTAAACTTCAACCCAGATTTTTGTGTTTACAGCTGATGTGTACACCTTCAACGCATTGATTGAAGCAACAGCATTGAGTGTGAATAAGAATATGGAGGACAAATGGAATAATATACTGGTAAGGAGGAACCCTCAGTTTGTCTTCTGATGGGCCTAAAATACCTTTTCCTAGAAATAAAGGGGGTGGAGACAGCATTTTTTGCACATTTTCATGGCAGATACAACAGCGCTGGGCACTCAGCGGTTGTGTGTTTACCCCCTCCCAGCAACCCTGTAGTTTAAATAGCTGTGTCTGACATGTGAGAAGAAACGTTAACTGACCCAGAGTTCAGAAAGACCTCAGTTGCTTTATTTCTCATCATAGTTTTTTAGTCACAAAAATGTATATTAACTGCGGGCGCCTGGGTGGCTCAGTTGGTTAAGCGACTGCCTTTGGCTCAGGTCATGATCCTGGAGTCCCGGGATCGAGTTCCGCATCGGGCTCCCTGCTCGGCGGGGAGTCTGCTTCTCCCTCTCCCACTCCCCGTTTGTGTTCCCTCTCTCGCTGTGTCTTTCTCTGTCAAATAAATAAATAAAATCTTTTAAAAAAAAAAAAATGTATATTAACTGAAACGTTTTTATCAGGTAAGTCTGAAAAATTATATTCATTGGATTTAAATAACTTAGGAATAGAAATGTTTTTATGTTTTTACACCGTATGGTTTATGTGTCTTTATACCATACTGCTGCTTATTTTAAAGGGAAACACTCCAGTTCATTCTAGTCTGTTCTTTTGCTTTACTAGGCAGGGTGAAGACAGTTGGACCCCTTGATCAAGTGAGGTGGGGTGACTTCTCTAAAAGGCAAAGTGACTGGTCCTGCTAATAGATAATTCTTAAATTAGGGATATATTTAGTAACGTTAGACTTAGCCAGAGGGCCAAGTTCTTTTTTAGTGTGTAATATTAGTTAATTGGACAAATTACCTACCCAGGCATAAATGAGACTTATGCTTTTGACTCAACTAGGAGTTGCTAAAACAAATGGCTGCACAGAAGGTGAAACCAAATCTACAGACATTTAATACCATTCTGAAATGCCTCCGGAGATTTCATGCATTTGGAAGATTGCCAGCCTTACAGACCTTTCGTGAAATGAAAGCCATCGGAATAGGTGAGTATGTGTCATGTCCCTCCCTGGAGGCTGAGCCAGTGCTGGCCAGAAGTCTTAGATGCAGACAGGTAGAAAAGAGGTGGTAAACTTTTTGCCGTTTATATAATGTATTGAGAACTTCGATTCCACCATTTGGCATTACAAGTATTTAGTAATGGTGGGAGCTCCTTTATCTTCATGCTCTTTATAGCAAATTACAGTGTTTTTTTAATATTTTAGGTACTTTTCTGTGGATTTTTGGGGAGAACTGTTCACTTAAGAATTAAATAGTTTTAAATCCCATGACATTTGCTAGCATAATTAAGTATTTGAACCTAAATGTGCTACTATGTTGTATAGTTTTCTGTAATTATTAAAGGTTGTTTGGGCATCAGTTCACTTCAGTATGATTTAGTGTTCTTGAACGAAGAATTATAAGTGCATTAGCTATAACATTTACTAATGACATGTCAAGGTTTTCTAAGAGTGTTTATGATCCCTTTCCACTTAACATTAAATTAAAATGAGCTACGACAGGTCTTTGTTCAGAGGAATAGAAATGTATCATCTTTTACTTAAATACCAAGGTCAGTGTGTTTTTAGTTCAGTGTGCCTCAGTAAACTGTATTTTTGGACAGCTGTGTTTGACTTCTTTCTTATTTTTTTGTCAACCTGGTAATTTAGAACCCTCGCTTGCAACATACCACTATATTATTCAGCTGTTTTATCACCATGGTATGTATGACGTTATGTATTAATTTATATAGAAAGCTGACACATTCCCTTATGTTTATGTGATTAATTGTTATAGGTCTCTTTCACTACATACGATTTAAGAATAGAGAACACAAATTAACATTCCTGTAGCCTGAGCAAAAAGTTATTCCAGCTGGAGGGGACAGGGCCATTAAATGTACTAACAGTGTTGGTGTACAATTACAAATGGTCCGAAGGTGGGGCGCCTGGGTGGCTCAGTCGTTAAGCGTCTGCCTTCGGCTCGAGTCATGATCCCAGGGTCCTGGGATGGAGGCCCGCATCGGGCTCCCTGCTCAGCGGGAAGCCTGCTTCTCCCTCTCCCTCTGCCCCTCCCTACCGTTCGTGCTCTCTCTCTCTCTCAAATGAATAAGTGAAATCTTTAAAAACAAAGAAATGGGGGCGCCTGGGTGGCTCAGTCGTTAAGCGTCTGCCTTCGGCTCAGATCATGATCCCAGAGTCCTGGGATCGAGCCCCGGATGGGGCTCCCTGCTCGGTGGGAAGCCTGCTTCCCCCTCTCCTCCCTGCTCATGCTATCTTCTCACTCTCTCTCTCTCTCAAATAAATAAAAATGTAAAAAAAAAATCAAAAATAAAAAGACTTAAAAAAAAAAAAAACAAATGGTCAGAAGGTATGTTAGTCTGGAGTTCTTTTGCCCCTCCAGAGCTGTGCTTTTCAGGCAAATAGCTGTTAGGCACACATGCCTCCTTAATGAAAGTTAAAGGACATTGAAGATTTGTTCATCGAATTAGTGCTGGGTACCCACGTGTGGCCGCCGGCTGCTGTATGCAGTGACGCAGCGAGAGAACATTCCCATTTGTACAGGGACTTGTTGGACAGTGCTGCTCCACCGTAACCTTGACCTTGTAGGAGAACCTTTTGGCTCCGTTTGTCACATGCTTTAGGTCAGCCACTTCCTGTAGGAGCTGTGCTCTGTTGAACGGACTCCAGAGCAAGGCACACTGGAGCTGAAATTTCACCTCCATCATTTACCAGTTGTGCCAGAGGGACTGGATACCCTACCTGAGTGAATACCATAGGGCCGTAATGATGAAATGAACTATGCCCAGTGTCTTGTCTCTGCTTGGAAGGCATGCAGTAGGCACTCCTAGTCTGTCAGTTTTTAGCCATTTGCCCCAACCTGAGAAAGAACCCCTGGGTTCAGAAATGACTGCTCCAGTCCTTTTCTCCTGTGGTTGACTTTATATATATAAAACAGAGAAGAACTTGAGTATCTCTGTTTTGGTGGACTAATTTTACAAAATCCACATCCTCACCTATGAGGAGGATTTTTATTTTTTAGGGTGCCAGTGGGGGGAAGAGGTAACAGACTTTATCTTGGAAATAGGTAAACAGTTTCCACAATAATTATCTTCTAAAATTTTACTCAACCTTGATGACGTTATAGTGAAACTAGTGTTTCTGACCCCAAAGCCTGTTGCATTTTTCTCTGCCATCACACATCACTTCGGTTCAGCTGCGTCCTGCTTCCTAAGTAACACTCGGGAACATGGGGGCAGACTCAGAGGAGACGTGTCCGTTTGCCTTACACGTAGGTAAACTGGCTCCCTGCAGTAACCACTTACAGGTATTTACTCAAAGGAGAAAGCCTAAAGAAAGGATACATGTAGATTATTATGTAATTAATAAAATGATTAGAAATGCCAGCAAATGGAAACACGCTTGAGGCAATTGTAGAAATACATCCGTACTGTCATTAAAACTACACTATCACTTGTGTGCGGATAAGGTAGGGAACAGATTGTATGAATAAGGTGATGTGTTGGGAATTGTGTAGGTGCATTTTATACTAATTAGTACTCCGTTCATGTGATTTTAAGAGGATTGCCTAAATCCATTAATTCTATCTACAGTTTTCTTTTTCTTGGCCTTTTCATCCTGATTATACGTAACACAAATGATTACTAGCAAAAAAACGTTTGTTTTTCGAAGTATGTAGATTTGGTGAGGTTGTGTGTGTCTCCCACTTCGGTGAAAGTCAAGCTTGAGACAAGATGAAAGAGGAAGGGCAAGTGTGCTGGGAGCACATAGCCAAAGAGCTGGAACTGTCCAAGATCGTATGGAGAGTTCCCCTCTGTAGTGTGTGCATCTGCTCCTTCAACGAGCATGCGCTCCGCCAGCTGTATGCCGGGCAGTCCGCTGCAGGGGGAAGGGGAGGTGTGGCCCCTTGAACTGCATTCTGTGTGGTTGGTCGGGGTACAGACGGGACTCCTTATGAAGCCTAATTGCTTTTTCGTTCTGCAGAAAACCCTTCAAAAGGATCATCGCTCATAATCTATGACATTATGAACGAATTAACAGGACAGAAATTTTCCCCAAAGGACCCAGATGACGGTATGCACAGAAAATGCTTGTGTGCAACAAAGAGCCTGCTTTCCCGATTGCCAGTTATTAGAGACCTTATGATAGGACAGGGTTTAATTTAGCTTAGTTGTCTTATGGTCATTATTCTGAAGAAGCCAAAATATGTGTGGAGCATTGCTCTATGCTTCCTCTCCTAGAGTTTTTATTCCTTTAGGTTTAACTTACACATTAACAGTTTTATTGAGTTTTATTTTTAGGATTTTTATTAATGCTCACTTGAAAATATATTTTACCCATTGTAACCAAGACTTTGTGAACTTTGATTTTCAGATATGTTTTTTCAGTCAGCCATGAGAGCTGTAAGTACTGTTTCTTGTTTAACTTCTGTTTTTCTTTTTCCTTTTATCCACTTAAATTCCTCTGTAACTCGTGCAGGGTTGGGGATCTCCCCTAATTCTTTCACTTTCTCTGTTAGTCTTTGGTCCAAATTTTTTTTCTCTTAAATTCTATACTAATTCACATAGCATCTCTACCTTTATTTATTGTATACGTTTTCTTTTTTTCACACCTTTGTTCAGATAAGGTTTCAGAGTATTTCATGTTTACCTGTTTGTGACTTTTTAAATTGATAATGGTTGTTTTGAATTTTGGTTTTTCATTTTATGTTAATCAGAAGAAGTTTTAGGCAGTTTCAGGATGGATTAGCAGATCCTATTCCCTAAGGATAATTGCTTTCCAAAAGTTCAGTGTGTATCCTTGTAGGTTTTTTCCTCTAGTTATTCAAACACACACAACCAGACACATTTCCATTATATTTTGTTTGTTGACAACAACATAGTATTTCATAGGAGGGAGGGACTACAATTTACTTAACTCTTCTACTGTGAGTGTGTTTTGGAGTTAATTCATGGGATTTTTTGCAAATATAGTGATGCTGAAATGAGCACTCTGTCTTTGACCAAGTGTTTTCATAGGATTGATTTCTAAAGGTACAATCACTAGATCAAAATCATCTTGTTTTAAATTTCACATAACTTGAGGTTTGCCTTTTTTTTTCCCCTCAATCTTATAACTCATTTGCTGTCAACCAGTAATACATTGAATCCGCATGAGTATTTCCACAAGTAACTCTTTTTAATGTAATGAGCCACTGTTTGGCTGATAAATCTGAGTGATGCTTACTGTTTGCAAATTTTCAGTGCTCGTTTCTCAGAGATCTAGAACTTGCTTATCAAGTACATGGCCTTTTAAACACTGGAGACAACTGGAAATTCATTGGACCAGATCATCGGCGTAACTTCTATTAGTAAGTGTGTTGGAAATGTATCCTTTTGCATTATTGGAGCTTCTTTAAACCACCATTAGTTCTGTAAGTGGGAGACTGTTGGTAGCCCTCCTATGTCACCTCTGCAGGCACCATGCCCCTAACTTACCGTACATGTTAATTGAGCACTTGGAAGTTCAAGCAGTGGTAAACTGATTTGCCAGACTGAGATGTCTGCTGTGTATCTTTTAAACTCTTTTTCTTTGTAATGCTTTAAATACACATTATCTTTTTTCTCTAGGCCCTATTTTATATTTTTGAATGTATGGTAGGGTAGGTCCCTAACAATTTCAACACAGCCTCTTTGTTTTTTTGTTTTTTAAGATTTTATTTATTAGAGGAGGGGGAGGGGCAGAGGGAGAGAGAGAAGCAGGCTCCCCGCTGAGCAGGGAGCCCGATGCGTGGCTCAATCCAGAACCCTGAGATCATGACCCGAGCTGAAGGAAGACACTTAACCAACTGAGACACCCAGGCACCCCAGCCTCTTGTTCTTAAAGATGAAGATACAGAGATGAAGCCCACAGAGACTCCTTAAATGAATTTGATTTCAGGTAGATAAAAACAGGAATTTGGGCGCCTGGGTGGTTCAGATGGTTAAGCGTCTGCCTTCGGCTCAGGTCATGATCCCGGGGTCCTGGCATCTAGTCCCACATCGGGCTCCCGGCTCAGCGGGGAGCCTGCTTCTCCCTCTGACCCTCTCCCCTCTCATGCTGTTTCTCGCTCGCTCTCTAAAAAATAAATAAAATCTTTAAAAAAAAACAGGAATTTAAGGAGGCAGCCTGTTAATAGGCATGTGATGATTGTCTTCTATGTGTCCATATCCTTGCTTCACATTGCATGCTTTTAAAGTGAATGTGATATTCACTGTTGGCTCACCGTGAGCTGAGAGCATGAGGAGGCAGTCATGAATGGCCAGCTGAGGATAAGAAGGTATTAATTGGGAAGTCCAGAGAACATAGTTAGCACCTCTTGAGTCAAGCATTGGCCCATGTAACTTGACATTGTTTGTAACTTACAAATTGATTTTAAATTCTGTGTAACATATCCTATAGCTGTGCTGTAATTCAGTCATTCTGTTGTTAGGGATCTGAGACTAAACCTACCTTTTCTCTTTCATTACAGTTCCAGGTTCTTCAGTTTGCTTTGTCTAATGGAACAAATTGATGTCACGTTGAAGTGGTACAAGGACCTGATACCTTCAGTAAGATGATTCATGACCTCTCATTGTAGATGTGCTTGTGGGTATCTTTGCTGACTAATACTTTAAAAATGTATTCGTATTTCTCTTAAGCAGGTATTCTTTCCCCATTCCCAAACTTTGATAGACCTTCTCCAAGCATTGGATGTGGCCAACCGGCTAGAAATGATTCCTCAAATTTGGAAAGGTTGGTTTCAGTTTGTATGTTCAGGCCCATCTCACTTCATTGCCCTACATTTTGATTAATGTTAGGGATGGAAATTTCCTTTTTTTTTTCACTAAATTAAATATATTAGTTAAGGTCTGCTTTATGGTTGTTGACTCCCATTGCGTATAATATTGCATGAGTAAAAATGCATTGAAAGTGACCTTTAAATAAGTTCCTTTGTGACAGGAAAAGGTAGAGTTTGTGCATTTGTTGTGTGACACGACAAAGGGAAGATCCTAGTGCTAATTACGTGGCACACCCTAAATCAAAATTCAGGTCTCCATTTGCAAAGCCTTTGTTATTCGTCTGTACCATGCTGCATCATTATGACTCAATTGTTAACCAGTCAGTGATAAGTTTCTAAGAAATGGGCGTGATTGTGCGTTTCTGTGTATAAAATTGGCTGCAGAAGATGCTGTGTCTCATCTGCTAGGTGATGGTGATCGCAACTTGAGTTTTCTGTCAGCTTCAGGTTTCCATGTCTGAACACTGAGACCATAACCCTGAACTATTTCACAAGATTGCTCTAGTGATTGTTACATCAAAGATGGTTGACAATTACCAGGTGCTGTAAAACAGTGTCTTGCCATATGGAGCTGGTAGCTGGGAGCAGGTTACTGCCTTCCATCGCTCCTTCATCCATTTTTACCGTGAATTATCCTGCTGGTTTCCTGGAGACCTGGAATAGTGTCAGCACCTGACTTTCACCCACCAAGAACTGTGACAGTGGACAAAGGTCAGCCGAAGAGTTTTGGTCTTACATGACAGTGATCACCATTCACTATGTTCTTTTTCTGTTTCAAGATAGTAAAGAATATGGTCACATTTCTCGCAATGACCTGAAAGAAGAGATTCTGATGCTCATGGCAAGGGATCAGCACCCACCAGAGGTAGGGTTATATCCAGATTCAAGTTATGTTACAGTGATTAGAAGTGTACTAACCAGTACGTTCTCTAACATTGTGAACCTTGTAAGGGTAAGTTCCTTGGTTTCATCAGGGAGACGTTACAGAGAATTCTGCTACCTAAACCCAGATTTAAATTCTACATCTAAACATACCCAGTCATTAGCAGAATCCCATTTCTAAAGACACTTTCATTCCTCCAGTCCAAAACTGTCTTGACAGTAGTAGCTTTTTAAAAAAATTCCCATCTAAAAAGAAAACCCATAATGTATTTTTGAAGAATGTGGCCAATATTCAAATTATTTACCCCAGAGCAGGGCAGGGTACGTTCTTTTTTATTGCTTGTGTACTATACATGGGATGGGTTCAAATGGTAAAATGCATAGCTCAAAAATGTCAACGCTTTTGTGGAGTCTTCTGAACTTAGATTCTCCTAAAACCAGCTAGGCAGTTCTGCTGACTCTTCAGGGCCTCTCAGCTTCAGGTGGCGTTTGCTGACTGTGCTGCAGATATCAAATCCACTTACGAGAGCCAGGATGCCAGACAGATTGCTCCTGAGTGGCCAGCCAACTGTCTGAACTATATAGCTGTCCTCTTTTTAAGGGCTGGCAGAACGCAGGAAGCCTGGTGAGTACAAAACCACAAGTGTAAATTAGAAGCATTTGTACTTGGATCTCAGAGAACATTTTTCCAGTCACTAGAATTTTCTAATTTGACTATTAGATGTGTAATCAGAGAAATGAGTTTTCTACAGGAGTTTTCTCTGGGACTGCAAATACCAACTGAAAAGGAAACTTTTAGAAGACGAGTATAGTATATACGTTGTATTTAAGAGAGGACACAGCTTAATAAGGGCTAATTCTCTATTTCTCACCTGTTTTCTGTATCCATGGGCAAGTAGTCACTTGTCCTGTCCACTTAAATAGAATGATCAAAGAATCTTATTTTTGAAAATGCCTTGGGCATTTGGCTTATCCAGGTATTTCAAGTGCAGGCTGTGCACTTGGACTTCTAGAAACTGACATTTAAAAACAGCCTTGACTAGGGGCGCCTCGGTGGCTCAGTCGTTAAGCATCTGCCTTCGGCTCAGGTCATGATCCCAGGGTCCTGGGATCGAGCCCCACGTTGGGCTCCCTGCTCGGCAGGGAGCCTGCTTCTCCCTCTGCCACTCCCCCTGCTTGTGTTCTCTCTCTCTCTCTGTCAAATAAATAAATAAAAATAAAAATGGCGGGCGCCTGGGTGGCTCAGTTGGTTAAGCGGCTGCCTTCGGCTCAGGTCATGATCTTAGGGTCCTGGGGTCAAGCCCCACCTTGGGCTCCGTGCTCGGCAAGGAGTCTGCTTGAGGATTCTCTCTCTCCCTCTTCCCCTCCCCAAGCTTGCACTCTATACCCACCTTATAAATAAATAAATCTTTAAAAAAAATAAAAAATAAAAAAATAAAATAAAAATGGCTTTGACTAGAACCATCTTTGGTTTGTGTCACTGTGTACCTACCAGTTAGGTGTTTTCATCAGCACTTCCTTCACATACTAATTCTTAGTGTTTGTGAATGGACACTTTAGATGCATTCCTTTTTCCAAAAGCAGAGAAGAAAGAATACTTTTGTTCAGTAAGTGGGGTACTTGTATATGGATTTTTCAACACAAGAAAGTAACTTGAACATAGGGTTGTCAGCCCAAAATGTGGTTGTTCACTGTCTTCAGGAAAAGCTGGTGAATGAAGGCTTTGCTACCTAAACTGGTCTTAGGAGTGTAAATCACACACATGGCCTGCTACACTGCTAGTGACAAACCTTTGATGCTCGAATTTGTTAACTCAGGTTGACACGCACTTGTTACGAATCAGGCTGTGATGATTGGCGCAGGGGTACGGACCTCAGCTGAATCATGGGAGCTGAATGTATGTGTTTCACCTTTGTCTTGCATGTGGCAGGATGCTGGTGAGCACTTACATGAGACTCATGCCTTAATCTGAGCCTGCTCTTCGCAATGTAATTCTAGGACACTGATCCCGTTCTGGGATCGTAAGAGAGGAAAGAGATCGCACCCTATTGCATCCCTCTCTGCTGCCCACAGGGTGCATTCTGTCCCTGTGAGGACCAAAGTGATTCTCGAGAAGAGGATATTACCCCCCCCAGTAATTCTCAACACTGGCAATGAATCAGACTTGCCTGTGAAACTTGAAATGTACATATGTGAAGTTTGGGAGGAGGAGTTGAAGCACCGAAGGTGCTTTAGATGTGAACAGGGCTAGGAGCCTGTGGAGCTCACAGATCTGTGTCTTCAGGAACTTCAGAGAACAGTTGTGATCATCTGCTCACCTTCTGTGCTATTTATATTCATATCTTTCTCATATCTTGAACAGGAAAATGTTGGGGCTTTTCAAGAAGCATAATAAGATCCCTGGGTAAGTTGAATTTAACAAGCCTCCCTGGGCACATCTTGGAATTAGCTGCATGGTCTTAACTCTTACCATGGGATGATTGGAATTTCTTCACATTCCTCAGTCACAGTGATTGAGCATTCTTCTGCTCAAGCAAATGGACAATTGCTTCCACCATCTAGGGCATCCTGAAGCAAGCACTGTTTTTAATCTGTGGTTGTTGATTGCAACACACTGGGCATACACTGAACAACAGATCCTTAATGAAGGCATACTGGATCAATGTTCATTGTATCTTTGACCCTTTAGTCTTCGTGGCAGTGCCTGGGTGGCTCAGTTGGTTAAGTGTCTGCCTTTGTCTCAGGTCATGGTGCTGGGGTGGAGCCTCATGTCTGGCTTCTCATTGGAAGTCTCCTTCACCCTCTGCCCCTCCCCCCACTCATGCTGCCCTTCATGTAAGTTTACCTCCAAAGCTACTGTTGTGGATTTCATGACTCAACTTTATAGAATACTAGGTTTTACTTTGCATATGAATCTGTGAGGGGGCTCAGGGGTTTAGTTGGGGAATGTTGACATTTTGCCTTTCTTTTACAGAAATGAGTTGTTGAATGAGTTTATGGACAGTGCAAAAGCATCCAGCAGCCCTGCCCAGGCCATTGAGATAGTGAAGCTTGCAAGTGCCTTCAGCTTGCCTGTTTGTGAAGGCCTCACCCAGAGAGTGATGGCTGACTTTGCAATCAGCCAGGAACAAAAGTGAGTCCTGCATCAGATGGAGCAGACGATTTGTCCATCTACCCATTCAATGTTTATAGCTTTCTTCCTCCTGAACTTTTTTCTTTGCAAAACACCAGGATGTGATACCTATTTATTTCACTTGTCATACATGTCAGAGCCTATAGATATGGCTCTTGGAAACTTTTCCCTTTTCATTAGAGTTTAAGTTGCAGAGTCCCCTCCCCCAAGCCTAAAATGCAGTGTAACCCTCTAGTTTATTTTCCTTACAGGGAAGCCCTGGGAAACCTAACCTCGGTGACCAGTGATAGTGACAGCGACAGTGACAGCAATGAAGGCAAATAAAAGTGGGCGAATCAGGAGCAGCTGTGGCCTAGCATAGTTGTTGTACTTAAACTTGAGAACTGACATCTCTGTTCAACTGCCTTGTGAAGAAAACAAGAGAATTCAGACTTGAACTTCAAAGAACAATAGGTATAGCATGGACTATTTAAATTCCTAATTTGATACTTCCTGAGCCACCCATTCGGGGTTGACCACTTAAACAGAAGCAGCACTACCATTTGCTGTGGACACACACAGTGAGGACACGGCTCCTGGCTTCAGCATAAGCTCTGTGCATGAGCAGTGTTTGTTCAGCCGACTTCACACTGCTGTCCAGTGTGGTTTGTCTTCGCGTCGTGGACTTGGCCTTCATGGGCTGATGCTGTGATGCTGGTGCTTCCTCAGTCTTCGAGCAGGTGGCTAAAGGAGGTTTGCAATACATACATCTCCATTGATACTGGATCAGTAGCCCAATTTAAGGGATATTTTAGAGGTGAGAAATTTGCCATTGTTGTTTAATCATTTCTAAGATGCATAGTGTTTGGGCTGCACGTATGGGAAAATGAAGGCTGTAAATAAACGCTGTAGTTAAGGTGCATTTGTACGTATTTCCATTACTTTTACACAGCCTTTGTCCCCCC